CTTACAACGTTAATCTTTTGTATGTTTTGAATTGTCATCGATAATTTTGGAAATGATGGATTATAAATTTTAAATTTTGAAATTTATAATATTATATTTTATAAACTATATGTTATCTATTAAATTTTTTTTTCATTTTTTTAATAACTCTTTTATTTATTTGGCATATAAGTTGCTTAACTTTAATTATAGATAAACTATGTTACAATTGGACGGATAAGGGTAAAGGACCGAGTACTCGGTGGATCAATAAATTTTTGTGAGATATCCGTTGTATAGGATACTCGCTTTTTGCGGGTCAGGTAAGAATATTGTTTGTCAAATATCCGATAAGATCGGATCGGATAACTGTAGTCCAAATTTTCAGGCTAGCCGTCTTATGCCCGGCCTACTTCTGGTTATATTAGTCGTCGTCCGTTGTACTGGTGTGGTTCCGATAACGAGCAACGGCGATGAAGAGACCTCGAGCTCCGTCTCCACCGTCAATTTCTACCGCCGCGAAGCCACCACTTTCACCACCGGCGACTCCGATTCTCAAACAGAAGCTACACAGAACAGGAAAACCAAATTGGTTCCCGTTGAAACTCACACAGACGGAGCTTACTTTACCGTTAACTTTTCCGACCGGTCAAACATTTCGGTGGAAGAAAACTGGAGAGATTCAGTATAGCGGATCGATTGGGCCTCATCTCGTCTCTCTCCGACAACGTCCAGGAGACGACACAGTTTCCTATTGTGTCCATTGCAGCACTAACCCTAAAGCTGCGGAGGTTGCGCTGCTCGATTTTCTCAATTCCGAGATCTCTCTAGCTGAGTTATGGTCGGATTTCTCGAATAAGGATCCTCGTTTCGGAGAACTGGCGAAACATCTCCGTGGCGCGCGTGTGTTGAGGCAGGATCCGCTTGAGTGTTTGATACAGTTTTTGTGCTCGTCGAATAATAACATTGCGAGGATTACGAAGATGGTGGATTTCGTTTCTTCTTTAGGGTTACATTTGGGTGACATTGATGGATTTGAGTTTCATCAGTTCCCTTCATTGGACCGGTTATCTAGGGTTTCTGAGCAAGAGTTTAGAAAAGCTGGTTTTGGTTACAGGTGCTTCATCACTATCTCTTCCTTTCAATGATTTCATCTGCTCTAGTGGTTTACTCATGTCTATAATACATAAAGCCTATGGTTTGCTATAATTCATGTTTGTTTTTAGCTAGAGAATCATTTCATGGACGTTTCTTTGATTGGTTCTGTTCTCAGTAGCAAACTCTGATTTTGTGGTTACATCTTTTGGTGAGCAGAGCGAAATACATTACAGGTACAGTAAGTGCCTTGCAATCAAAACCAGGTGGTGGCGATGAATGGCTTCTGTCTCTACGAAAAATGGATCTCCAAGATACAATTGCTGCTCTGTGTACATTACCCGGTGTCGGTCCAAAGGTTGCAGCGTGCATAGCTTTGTTTTCTGTCGATCAGCATAGTGCCGTTCCCGTTGACACACATGTCTGGAAGGTAAAAAAGTCCACATGCTCTTCTGCGGTTTCTATATTGTAAATACTTAGTTGAGATCCAACACTAGCTAGCATTTTGGCGATGACTAAAGTAGCTCTTTTGTTTTTTGTTTTGGGTAATGAATCAGATCGCCACAAGGTACCTTCTGCCAGACCTTGCTGGTGCCAAACTGACACATAAACTCTGCAGCCGAGTGGCAGAAGCATTTGTCAGTAAATATGGCGAATATGCTGGTTGGGCTCAAACATTGCTTTTCATTGCTGAGTTACCCGCACAAAAAGCTCTTTTGCAGTCGTTTTCCCAGCCTACCGAACTGGATGAATCTGCGGAAAGAAAAGGTAATGAAGCTAGCTTTGACGCGATGAGGCCTTGATAGAGAGCATCAATTCGCTCGACCAGTTTCTCCTTTGATTTACCCTCGAAGATTGTGTCCAAATGAGAAACTTCGTCCTTCTTCGAGCTTAATTCATCACTGAGTCTTTTGAGTTTCAAAACCTCATATAAAACCGAGATTTAAGCTTTGATAAAGATGAAACTGCTCTCACCTTCAAACTGTCAGGACCTGTAGTTTGCTAGACGCAAGGCGGCTTCTCACGGTATGCAAATTCCAGAGCTACGTATCAAGGGCAAGTCACAAGCTGATGCAGCAATTCACGAGCTTTGTTGTCCCAACATTTCCTAGGAAATTCAAACCTTGATTTGTACTTGTTAACTTTTCATTCGTAATTGTTCGATTTGTAACACAATTTAGTTAATGAAATACATTGGTAGATGATGGCACGGTCGAAGTAATGTACTTTGGTAGATGAATATTTGTGGAATTCTGAAAATGCATTACAAAAGACAATTCTTCAAGCCCCTAGGCCCATAATTGGCCCAACTAAGCCCCTAGGCCCATAAGAGGCCAACTGATTATATTGAATTGGGGAAAAAGAAAACTCGACTGGAGTTTCTTCCAAGCCACCGTCGACTTTAACTTTCTCTCTCTCTCCTCCGTCTCAGATTTCTTCTCTGTTCGGAAAAAGCTCCAAATCTCACTCTGAAAACCCTAATTCTCCGATGTCGGTAAGTTGATCACTCCATGTTTCTTGCTTGAATTTCAGAAACCCTAACTCTTGTCTTTTAAGGGATCAATGGTTGATGGTAATTAATCGATGCAGATCTTCGAGTACAATGGAAGTGCCGTTGTGGCTATGGTGGGGAAGAACTGCTTCGCCATCGCCAGTGATCGGAGGCTCGGTGTGCAGCTACAGACTATCGCCACTGATTTCCAGAGAATCTCCAAGATCCATGATCGTGTCTTCATCGGCCTTTCTGGTCTCGCCACCGATGTCCAAACACTGTAAGCTATCGTGCAAGCTTCTGGATGCTCCATTTCTTCTCTTTTCTTGTACCTTTTTTTAAAAAGATTTTTCCTTTTGGGTTTGAAGGTACCAGCGCCTGGTGTTTCGTCATAAGCTATACCAGCTTCGGGAAGAGAGAGACATGAAGCCTGAAACTTTCGCAAGTCTCGTCTCTGCCATTCTTTACGAGAAGAGGTAATTGCGTGTCTTGTTTTTGGTTTATTAGTTTCCTGTGTCGTCGAATTTTGATTCTGGATAGGACTGATATCTGCTTAGTTTGTCTGGGAATCATGACTTACTTATGTGCTTCATTTCAGATTTGGTCCTTACTTATGCCAACCAGTGATTGCTGGCTTGGGAGAAGATGACAAGCCCTTCATTTGCACCATGGACTCCATTGGAGCTAAGTAAGCTCATATCCTTTCTTGCTTGCATCTCTGTTCCGTAGGGAAGTAGTTTCCCTTATTCAATGTCATGTAGCTTGGTTAGTTTAATTTTGTAATTCATGTCACTTGTATAGATGTTTCGTGGATGACATTTATTTTCCTTGTGTCCAATGTTGCATAGTCATATGAGTCGGCAATTCTCTTGATTCCTTTTCCTCTCTCTTATGTTGTTTGTTATTTTTATCCGTTTCACTTATGCTTGCTGTTTCGAAAATGAGTTCTTTGTTACTCTTGTATTACGTTAGTTGCTTGATATAACCTGTAAATGGTGGACAAGTTATAATACATGGTTCTGTTGTAAATGCAGGGAGTTGGCTAAAGATTTTGTTGTATCTGGAACTGCTTCAGAATCACTCTATGGGGCTTGTGAAGCAATGTTCAAGCCAGATATGGTTTGTCCACTAGAAACTTTATCATCTGTTGTTTTATTTCCGAAACCCTTCAATGCAAATTCTTAAACTACCACAGTCAAGTTTGGTAGGTTTACTGTTCAGTGTTGGTTTATATGAAAATAGAATCTTCAATTGATATGAAAATCAGGGGGCATAATGCATGTAGGAAGCCATTACTTATCTCTTGTATATCTTCAGTGGTCCCTATTAGCATGAAGTGTTTAAAAGTTTGAGCATGTTTGCCACACTCCGTTGTACTAGAACATATGTATCAGAAACTCTGGCTTAACAAATTGGAATTTTCAGGAAGCCGAGGAATTGTTCGAGACGATATCGCAAGCACTTCTGTCATCTGTTGACCGTGATTGTCTGAGTGGTTGGGGAGGTCATGTCTACGTTGTGTAAGTTTCCATTTCTTCTCAATGAGATTCTTCTTTTACCCCACATTTTGTTATCCATAGTTAATTCTTAACACACTTTGATGGTGATATGTTTTCCAGAACACCAACTGAGGTTAAAGAGAGGATCCTAAAAGGAAGGATGGATTGATCTGAATTCATCATCATGTGCTTCTATCCAAGTTTGATTTTCGCTGTAATCCGGTTTTAAGTAGAATAACCTTTGAATCCCGGTTTAATCATATAACCAACCATTCCTTCTCTGAAATTATGGCTTCTGGATGAAGTTTGATATCCCCTCTCTTGGATTGTTTTTATTTCAATTCGTAGAGTTTAACGAAGAAAATCTCCCGCACTCACTGGTTTTTCTATCTACATTTTATTTTTAGAAGAAGAAAATAAATATCGTGAAAAAAAAACAACAGGGGAAACTGAAAATTGACAGTAACCACCAGATCGTAAGCAGTTACTCTCAAACGTCTCTAAATTCTTGTCCTAATACTGAAAATTGAAAATCTCCCGCACTCACTGGTTTCTGTTCTTGTTATGTCTGTTAAATCCCACAAGCAGAATAATCTAAATCGGAAGTTAACGGTCGTGATGGGTAACGTGATGGATTCGTTCTTCACCGGTTTCTTTCATTCTATCGGAAACTTCTTTGGTTCTCCACTTGACTTTCTCTCTGGAAAATCTTGCAGGTTAATTTCCAAAACCATCGACTTCTACTACTCTAGAGATAAATTATCTTCTCAACGTTTTTCTTGATTTGCTTATCGTAATTTTTTTTAAAATTTTTTTACTTGGAACAGTTCTGTTTGTCCATCACCGTGGGATTTCATATGCTACATCGAGAATTTCTGCGTGGCTAATCTTGCGAAAGCCGCCTTAATCCTAATCGTATCCTACTTCTTTCTATTCTTCATCTACATGTTACACAAAGTTGGGTTTTGGCATTGTATCATCCATGGTTTCTTCAGACTCCTCTGGGCTTTAGTCTCTTGTTGGTTCTACATTCTTAGCTATTGCTGCACTTTCTTCTGCTATGATCTGCTACACTCTAAACGCAGAAGAAGACACAGGAACCGCAGATATACAGAGGATGATTATGA